AATGAAACTCACCAAGGCTGGGTAGGGTGGATGGGGTAAAAAAGAGTAATAAAGGGGTTAATCTCATTAAAATACAAGATATTCACAGATGAAATACCAATCACAGACATTTTAATGTCTCGTTACTGTGGTTATTGTCTTAAAATATTATTTACACTCATTCCTTCTTTAGAATTGCAGTAGTTATCAGATCTGTCACTAGATCTTGGGGACTTTTTTGGGGGTGGCTGGGGAATCAAACCCAGGGTTTTGTGCATATCAGGCCCTAAACCATACCCCTAACCTCTGTTATATATTAATTTTGAAAGCTCATATTGGAGTATTATAAATTGTATTTTTATATTTTGATAACTTCATTTATTTAATTTAATTGGCTGCTGTTAATCCTATGTGTTTTAGTTTATGCACTTAAGTTCATTATAGAGAGAAAATGGGTCCCTCAGCTTCATCACATCATGGTCAGTGACACAAAGACTTTAAACTCTTACCCTAAAGAGGCAGGGCTCTGCTCATGTTTATATGAGCTCGTGTTTTATCTCCAGCTGCTCCTTTCTCAGCTGTTGTTCTTAAAATTTGCTTCTAAACATATAGTTTACCTCTTTCTGAGGTAGTTGAAGGGGGGCCATTTTGTTTTCACTGGCTTATGAGTTCAGATGGTATTTAAAATATGACAACACAACAAGACTACTCCTCTTGCAATCAGACTTCCTGTTTACATAGGGTAGCTCTGAAGTTTCAGGCTTTAAGAAACAAGATTTTGCTGAGCTGCTGGGCTCACTCACTGCTTTTACGTTAGGTTCCCAGGATGCTGGGACTCCCTGATGATAAACTCAAACCTTAATTCATGGCTTGGTGGCCACAGGTTCAGGTTCCCTGGGCGGTTGGTGATGTAGAACTTCATTTTAGGTTAACTGGTGGAAGACTCCCTTGGAATGTCTTTTGGCACCTTCCCAGGACGCCGCCCTTGGTCAGTCTTGTTGGAGCATTTGACTTGGTCAGGGTGGGCAGGCGCCTGGCAGGCCTGTGTCCTGGGTCGGGAATGGGGCCTGGCAGAGGGACTGGTTGACTGGAGGAACACTGCTAGTGTTAGAGCCCAGTGCCAGCTCCTGCCTCAGTGGCCTCAGCTCGGTACTTGGGTATTACATTGTCTGCTAAGTTGCTCTAAAAACTTGAAGTTGGAGCAGTGGATTCCCACTCTTTTCCTTTTTGTTTATGTTGTTTTATGTTTTCTCTCTTTATTTTTGGTTTCCACTCTTTTTGAGAACACTTCATGGTGCATTAAGAGTGCTTGTGGATCCCAGTGCTCTGGAAGATTGTTATTTGTGACTGTATTTTGCTCAGAGTTCTTCCTTCCTTCCTTCCTTCCTTCCTTCCTTCCTTCCTTCCTTCCTCCCTCCCTCTCTCCCTCCCTCCCTCCCTTCCTTCCCCACTCCCCCTTCCCCCCCCTTCCATGAAAACAACTGGTAAGTTTATTTATTTATTATTTTTGGAAGCACTGGGGTTTGAACTCAGGGCTTTGTGCTTGCTGGGCAGGTGCTCTACCACTTGAGCCAGGCCTCCAGGCCTCTGGCACTTTCTATTCTTGTAGTTAGCCATGTTCCTGACAGCTACATATCCGCTGCGGGGATACCAATAGTAATGGGGAAGGTTTTCCCTTAATGCAGGAGTCCAATACACTGTCAGAAGTGTAGTCAGAATGCTTACGTGCTTCCTCCGTGCCAGGCCCTTTGTGGAAGACTTCGTAGACAGCCCTGTGAATCTTAGTAAATTCATTTCACAGATGAAGAATCCAAGACTCACAGAGGTAGAGTAACCCGCTCAAGTTCATGTCTGGTGTGTTGCAGAGAGGAATTTGAGCCAAGGCCCTCTGATCCTGCAGCTCAGGCCCTTGAACCTGCTTTCGTGTTCATTCTGCCCACGGGATGGAGTGATTTCAGAACTTCAGTTGTGCTGCAGTAGTGAGCCAGGAGGCTCTGTGTGTCACTTACGTTTACCATGTCGGCCACTGGGAAGCAAGCACGCGTGGAGCATTTACTGTTTGACAATTCTGCATGCAAGGTTTTAACGCTCAGTGTATTTATGTTTGTAGGGATGCTTCCTTTGGAAATTGCTCTTACAATCTCACCATTCTCGACTGTTTACAGGGACTCAGAAAGGTAATGACAATTCTTCTTGCTATAGTTGGTGCAGTAGTTGGAAAAGGAATAATCTCAACATCCTCGTTTGCTGTCAGAGAGAAGAAAGGGAGCTGGAATAGAATTCTGCTTCGTGAATGTAGATTGATTTGTAGAATCAGTTTCCCTGGGGGTCTTCACTCATGGGATCAACCAACCTCAGACTGAAGACACTTGGAAAACAAAACAAACCCCTGCTCCTTATCATTATTCCGTAAACAGTACAGTATAAAGCTATTTATGTCACATTTACACTACATTAGGTATTATAAATATTCCAGTGATGACCCAGAGTGTACAGGAGGATGTGTGCAGAGTAGATGCAAATACCATACCACTCACTATACAGGACGTGAGTTCTGCAGATTTTGGTGTCTGTGGAAGGTCCTGGAATCAATCCTCAGGGATACAGAGAGTGAGAGTGTAGACAAGAGAGCAAAATGGGGTGAGGAAGTGGAGGAGGCCCCCCCTTCTCACTTCAACCCCTTATGTCCTGGGGCGAATTTATCACATCTGTCTGCCCCTGTGCTTGTCACATCGTTTTGTCAGTCATTTAGCTTCATTATCAAGCTGGATCTTGGTGTGGGGGAAGTTATCTAAGCTACTGTTAGTTGGTCCCACTCCAGACTGACTGAATCATAAATTCCTGGGGTGTGTTTGGAGCAATCTGTCCAGGTGATGTGTCACACTGTGACAGGTGTAGTTATTTAGTCACAATGTATAATGTAGAGGTTAAACTCAAAGGTTTTGGGAACACATTTAATTTGTAATCTGACAAGTCATGCAAGCTGTACTATGAATTTTAGCGAGGGACCAAAGTTCACAGTTCCACTTTTAACCTAAAGCTATGATCTGTTATTGATCAGAAATGTATGCATTGCACAACTTTTGGATTATAAACACAGCATCAGCAATGCTAGCTCAAATTTCTTTTCTCTGATGTTTAATATAAAACTAGTTTTGCTATGTTTTGAGACTATCAGTGTGATAATTATCCTACCTGATTTATGTGTGTCTGTTTCTGACTTTGATATTTCATTGAAAAACTATTTTAAACCCTCTAAAACCTTAAAATAGTTTTCAAGTATTTTTCTTTAAAAAAAAAATTGTGGGGATAGTAGCCCACCCCTGTAAACAAGATTACCAAAATGCACTTCCTGTAATACTAGTAAAGAGCTTCTATGGAGCGGTTACCCAACAGATAATCCCTAATTACAGTATTTAGGTGATATGCCCAAGGGGAAAAAGTAATTTATTTATTGTCACTATTATTATTATTGTCTTGCCTTTCCTTCCACGTGGGGTAGGCTGTTCTTTTACAACACTTGTGAAACAGAAAAAGTTCCCACTGGAATATTCCTGCCCAGTGTTTTGGTAACTGTTATCTTGGTTTAGAAATTTATGACATCCTTCCTGGTGAACAGGAAAGGCATGACTACTTATGAATAACGTCTTTTCTAAACTTATTGTTTCGTCAGATGTTGGGGTTTACTGAAATGCAGATGGGATTTTAGGGGATCTGATAGATCACTGCACGTGTCTTTCGGCAGCCGGGACACATTGGCCCAGGTACACTCCTCACAAAAGGGGTCATGTCCTAGGCTATTTTTCTGTGCATGAGTACACCTGTGAGAACACATACAGAGCACGTGCTCATTTTTGCCTTTTAAGGGAAGATATTTTTCTGAGTTTGATGTATTGACATAAGCATAGTTCACGTTACGTGAACCACAGACATACACGAACACACCACTTAAAGAGAAAGAGAAAGGAAAAAAAATAAAGAGAAGGGAAGGAAAGGGGACTGTTGTGAGTATATTTTTCTCACTGTTTCCTCTGGAATGGTGTGTGTGGATGAGCTAAGTTGCTTTTCCAAAGCGAAATAATTTAAATAGCGTGTTCCTCTTGTTCTGTAGGAGTTATCCAAATCAGTGTTACCAGGATTTAGCATTTATGAGAATCAGCTAGAGAAGCAAGGTGCTTAAAATGCTGACCTTGGCCCCATGACCAGAGAATGTCACTTTTAGTTCTGGGGTGGAGGCAGGAAGCTCTTCAAATGTAAGTTACCTCTCGTGTTTCTGATGCAGGTGGTCCAGGTTCTTACTTTGAAAAACCCCACTGGTCTCTAAGGTGTTTTTGAAGATAGTGGGTTTGGCCTCCTACTTTCTTTTTCTATTTTTAAAGATGTGATCATGAAACTTACAGGTTTTAAATTCTATTGTCCTCTGCATAGCTGCACAGTTTATAAAGTAAAAGGCTCTTTGTCTTCCTGGGAATATTAGATCCGACCAAGCTGGATAATTTTTTTAAAGCTTTAAGTCATTACTTGCAAAAAGGAGTGTGAAGTTTTTCTTTCTGTTGCTCAAAATACCAGATCTTCCTTCTAAATTATGAGTAGAGAAATACACTTTTGTTCTGTCAGATACTTTCACTGTGGAACAAATTCTCTCAGAGTACACTTTTACAAATTAAGGCCTCCGAAGTAAAAATCACTTCCTTTTTTTTTTTTTTTGCTAAATATCTCATTATGATAAAAGGAAAACAAAACTTTCTAAGAATAACTGATTTTCTTCTGAGAAGTTAATCAGTGTATGTTCTGCCATAGGGCTACTTCCCAATAACTTTTAACTCTCAGTTTGCCAAAATCTTCCATTTTAAGTGCATTATTAATTTTACATACAAAACTAATGTAAGTTAAAATCCCAGAAGCATCTTTGGGGAACATATTTCCATATTACCCCAAGTTTAGTCCCACTTCTAAAACAGCATTGAAGCAGAATGCCACCATTGGATGACTTCTAGAGATATACTAAAAATCATAAGTCATTTTGAAATTAGGAATTTTAGAACTGGTGAATGGATTTTGTCAACTTAGTGTGGAAGAACTAATGGAAATTCTGCTTTTAGGGATTGCAGCATGGATTTTTTGACTTTGAGACATTTGACGTGGACGAGTATGAGCATTACGAGGTTTGTACGTTGATGACATTCATTAATGATGTGTTTTTTTTCCGTAACACTCGGGAGTTACATTTGAGTGGCTGACAAATAAAAGCATTCATGGGTTGTGTTTCTTTAAATGTCAGTTTTGTCTTGAAAAACTGAATGATTTGGTTGTCTTTGAACTAGAAGTCACCAAAATTTTAATTTGGAAAAAAATGCCATAGTTCTATATATTCTCTTATCAAACTTATTGACAGTCATTTTGCACCTTTAGTTTTTAAGAAAAAGTAATTCTGAAGTACAATTTATAAGTTACTTTTATTTTATTTTTGGAGTACTGGGATTTGGACTCAGGGCCTTGTGCCTGCTAGGCAGGTGCTGCACCACTTTTGAGTACACCCCTAGCCCTTGGGTCATGATCTTCTTACATCTCCCACATAAATGAGATTGCAGGCATGCTCACCACGCCCCGCTTCTTTGATGTGATTAGTGGTGGGGTCTCACTAACATTTTGCCTGGCTGGACTTAAATCTCTACCTTCCTGATTTTAACCTCCCAAGTAGTTGGAATTACAGATATAAGTCACTGCACCCAGCCCTTTTATTCTAAAATTCAAATAAAAAATTAAAAACAAAATCAAATTTTTGCCTTATAACACTTTTGATTTGTGCACATTTTTACAACATGGTTGAATGTGCTTAGTTCAAGGTTGGCTGAACTTTTTTTTTCCCATGGCAGTAATACCAGGCTTTTGAATAACGTCTTGCCTGCTCAGTATATATGTGGTTATACTGTCTGAGCTGGGTTGTGTTATAGGATGAGAAATGAGAGGCCTGTAGGGTGGGAGGAGACTCACATTCCCTGAATGTGAGCTCATCTGTTGGGTTTTTCCAGGGCAGAAATAAAATTTATCACTGTCCTTGGTGAGACCAGGACAGCCTTCACATTTTGGGCTCCAGTCCAGAATGTGTCTATTTGAATGTCCTGTTTCCACATTAAACTTAAAGTATCTGAAAAGAAATGGGTCATCTTTTACTCAAACATAGACTTCTGCTCTGTTTGTCTGCAGTAATGGCGCCCCCATCCTACTTACTGCTCACCCAGACTCAAGACTAGATGCAGTCCTTCTTAATCCTCCCTGGTCCAGAGAGTATTTGAGCTCCCAGTGCTGGTGTCACAGGGTCTGTTCTCTCTCTTTTCCTCTCTGCTGTCACTCCTGTCCCCTGGCGCAGTCTCACAACTGGACTGTTACAACCCCCTCTATCTGAGTTCTGGCTCCTCTGCCAGGCTGTTTTCCACATACCTGACTCAAGGATCTTAAAACAGAGCTTGTGTCTTGCCTCGGTCTTGGCTCCAAACTGCCTGTCATTTTCCTTGTCCTGCTGAGATGAGAGAATCCTCTGTCCTGGTGTCTCGGCTGTGTCATGCTCTGGCCTAATGTCACAGTCTTGCCTCTTGTTCCTTCACTGTCATTTCTCTATGTTCCAGCTCCTCTCAGCTGCTTACTTAACGTTTCCCTGTGTCTCTGTGACCTGTGGACCCCTCATCTCTCCTTACTGTCCCCTCCCCTCTGTTTGGCTGAGATCCTACAAAGGTCTCCCCTCTGTAGAACGCTCTCCCCAGCTTCATGCTTCCCAGTTTACACTTTGCATTTCTCTCACATCGTGGCTGTTTGCATACAAGCTTTATTTTCCTCATTAGATTGCAGAATCTCTGTGCATGAGTTGTGATCAGGTGGAAAAATATAAGCCATGTTCTTGGATAGAAAGACTTAACATCATAAAATGACCTACCCCCAAAATCAATAAATTTAGTGCAATCTATTAAAAGTTCCTGGAGTATTTTTTTAAAATGTAGAAGTATTTTTGTGGCGTTGTACTGGCAAACCATCTCTTCTTGAAAAAAAACAGAAACCCTACAAAACTAGAAACAAAAGAAAGTGCCTCATATACGGGACCAGGCTGGATAATCTGTAGTACATACGTATCACAGAATAGTATGCAGTCATTTGAAACAGTGCAGTCAGCTGCACTGCTCTTCTGAGTGCATTTCTTGGAATGCCTTCCAGAATGGATGCTGTAAGAAAGACACAAGATGCTTATAAGGTGCCCTCCCTCCAATTTGGTGGTACTGGGGTTTGATTGCTTCTTTTCTTTTTTTGGCAGTACTGGGGTTTGGATTCAGGGCTTTACAGGCACTCTACCACTTGAGCCATGCTTGCACCCCATAATCCCCCTTTTTAAATAAAATAGACAGTAACAAGGATCTCCTGTTTTGTGCATATGTGCATATGTCTGTATCATATGAGGTGATTTTCTGTGAAGCTAATGAAGGTAAGATTTTAGAGACCTCCCACCTGCACAGGTGTCTTTGAAAAAGTCCTATACCTAATTTTATGTTGATAATTTTATATTCTTAAAATCAACTTCCAAATTAGATAACTTGCATTGTCCACCCCCAAAAAACCCTTGGACCTCTGCCCTATGTATGCAGGCATGGAAAAAAAAAATAAATGGTCAAATGCTAAAAAATAAAGCCATGTCAGCTAAAAGAAAGATCTGGGGTTGGAGGATAGAGAAGGAAAGGAAGGGACAAGCACCACAGTACGGGGGAAAAAAACGACTTGATTTTTTACTCACTGTCTCGCTTTCTCCCCCTCCAACTCTGGTGGTGATGTTGAGGGGTAGTTGAGGCTGTTGAAATACCTTAAGGTGACAGTACAGTTTTATTCTTACAAACCAACTCTGTAAAGACTGTGGTCCTCCCTCCACCTGTATCAATAACAGCCCAGTAATGAGGGAGAGCAGGTGGTTTTGGTGAACATTTGGAAAGTTGTCTGTCAAACATCTTCCTTTTTCTGAATGGCATGTCTGTTCATCCCATCACAAGTGTGACTGGCAGGTTAGGCATTTAGTAAACATTTACTTAATGAGGAAATGAATAAGTAAAGGACTGTTTGGGCTGACATCTGGGGGCCCCGTCATTTCCTGCTCTTGAGAGTGAACGTGGTGAACTTCTGTTTGTGCACCAGCTGGATTCACACATTTCATTTCCTCCAACGAAGTTGGTATTCCAGTGAAGTGGTTGGAGTTTTCAAAGTTTATTGTCAATAGCAATTTGTGACAATATCAGCTCTGATGACTTGGGTCTATTTCGGATGAGGCTTTGCAGAGTCACTTCTTCATCAAACTGCATTTAAGGTATAACATAGCTTGAGACAAAGCCTAAACCAATGAGACTGCCTCTCTGTGAGATATTGAAGGGGGACTCTTGACACCTGCCACTTGCAAAGGCAGGTGGTGAGGTCAGCACAACTCCAATACTACCTGTACAGGGCCTGCCGGTATACCCTGCTCATTCTGAGGTTAGGTTCACTTTCCTCTGGCTGTGTGAGGGTCTGAAGTGGAGCCATCCAACAGAAATACCATCAGAGTCATATATATTTCAAATATTCTAGTGAGGACATTTAGGAGAGTAAAAAGAAACAGTGAAATCAGTTGTAATAATACATTTTACTTAATACAGCATACCCAAAATATCATTTCAGTGTGTAATCAATGCAAAAATTATTCATGAGGTATCTTACATTTAAAAAAATTAAGCCTTTGAAACTCAGTGTGTCCTTTACACTTTGACATACTTTAATTTGGCCTATCTGCAGTTTAAGTGCACCGTAGCCAAAGGTAGCTAGGGTACAGATTTTACCAGAATGACAGGCTTAGCACTGCACTGTCACAGTCCATCAGTGTGACATGAAGCCTAGAAGAAGGGTAATGGGTTGCATCTCCTTTAGATGTGACCTGATTGCTCATGCCAGAGTTCATATAAGGCCCTATCATAGAAGGCTTGGGGTAAGCTACCTCAGGACCTGTTGTTCCTTCTTTTGCCTCTGACGTGCAAATGGCCCCTTTCGTTAAGCATTGATTAACAGCAGTAGGGATTGGTTTCCATCTTGTAAAAGTGTCTTTCCAGGTCTTTGCCAACCTGCAGAAGAACAGTGCCACTTCTTATGCTTGTACTGCTCAAGTAGACATAGTTTTGGCTGCAGTGCTGGGAAGGTCCAGAAAGGATGGGAACTGCTAGACGGTGATCTAAAAGCTCCCTGTAGGAATCAGGGTCACCCCATTGTACCTTTCCAACAGGTTTCAAAAGGCATTCTCAAAGAACTTGAGAACTAAGAAAGGAGATACTCCTTTGAAATCTAGCCATTGACCAGTTCAGAATTTTTTTTTTTTTGACTTTTTGTCCTAGGGAAAAACAGTGAGGAGAAAGAACTTGAATATTCAGTCACATTCTGTATCTTCAGGTATGTGAGCACTGAACACTCCCCCGTAGTAAAATCAGTGGCTAATCCGGTGTGGGATAACATTCTGCTCAGAGGATCTTGGAGTAGCACCCAAATGCAGAATCTGCCTTTAGTCAACTTTTTCTGTATTGTTTGGGAGATACCTGCCTTTACCAAACAAGCCCAATCATTAACGATGTCACACTTAAACAATCATTGTCCCTCAGAGAGAATCGGAAGTTACGTCTTCACTATTTTTTCACTTGTCCCAACTGCTGCCCACTGTTTACCAGAAGGCTTGCCATTTTTGATGATGTCTCTATATTATCCACGAACAGGTGAGCTCGCAGGAAAGCTGTCTGGTAGGAATAGCTGGATGGAAGTGTATCCAGTATTGGTCCCCTGTTCTTAGCTGGGGGCTGGGGAGGAAATGCAGAGAAATGGTGTTCCGGTGGCCACATTTGGTGGCTTGAACTTATTTTCTCAGTCAGCTTCTGGCCCATACAGTTTCAAAGAGCTGCCTCTTGGTGGTTACATGGAGCTAAATGTTAAAAATGACTTTAAAACTGAAGTTTTTCTGGGTGTGGTGGCTCACGCCTGTAATCCTAGCTACTTGCGAGGCAGAGATCAGAAGGATCTCAGTTGGAGGCCAGCTTGGGTAAAAAGTCCTGAGCCCTATCTCAACCAATGGCTGGGTGCATACCTGTTCTCCCAGCTACTTGAGAAGCATAAGTGGGAGGCT